CAGAAATCAGAAAAATCATCTTTATCAAAAAATAGAACCAAGAATTACTTCTGTAATGTACAAATAATAAATCAATTTACAAATGATAAAAATAAAAATTGTAAATTTATGGAAAATTTGTTTAAAAATTAAAAAGATTGATATTCATGAAAAGAGAGATTATAGATAGATACATGGATAGATAGATATATAGATAGATAGATCGATAGATAGATAGAGAGATAAATAGATAGATAGATAGACAGATAAACAGATAGATAAGATGAATTGCAGATGTAATCTCTATAATTGATTAGAAAACAACTGTTGTCTATAAATAAATCAATCAAGAATCAAGATTTTCTCCAAGGGAAAAGAATCCTGAAAGTGAGAAAAAGAGAAAGAGAGTAAGAGAGAGAGTAACAAACTTTTTTCGTATTTTATACACTTTTTTACTGGGGGAGGTTTCACACCAAGGATTAGACTTTATTCGAATTAAATGTTTAGAAATAAAATTTTAACTTGTATTTTTTTTCTGAAAAAGGAAATTCAATTATTGCCACAAAATGAAATTTTCTAATTCCTTTTCTAATCTTTCCAACCTGATTTCAAACTTAGACATTGGGTTTCAAAGATAAAGGAATACGAAAAAAAAGTTTATTTTAAAGAATCAATTCCTCTATGAGTCTTTCAAGATTTTTTTAAATAAATGGCCTACATACACTGGCCCCTGTTAGTTCTTTTATAAAGTATTCCAAGGGTTCAGCACGTTCAGATGATGCCAGCCGTTCACGATAAAAATAGGTGGAGAAAAAACATTAAAAAATATCAAAACACTTAGAATATAAAAAATTAAAAAAATTATTTTAAAACACATCCGTTCGTTTTTTTTTATAAACATTGTATACATTGTAAAACAAAAACAAACAACACATTTCGCGGATTTAAAAAAAAATTGTGAAATTTCAAAATTTTCAAAAATCCAATTTTGTTGCCATTCATTAGCGGCATGTTGCCTAGCCTTAAATTGTTCAAGTGAGTAAATATCTGAACTCATTAAATATTTTTGCAAAGAAAAGCTTATAAATAGTTTAAACTTGACATGAAACACTAATTAATTTATTCTGACATTCTCGCGTTTAATTATTTTTATAATTTGGTTAGATAGATACAATCTACAGTCTACACCCAGGTGCATTGTTAGAAAACATCTCAACACGAACATAATTGAATATTTTCTTAAACGTTTCCGATATTGCTTGAACATTGTTAGGATTATTGTGTGTTCGTGTTCGCAAAAAATGATCGTTGGTGATCGCTACTAATCTTACTTTTATCTATAAGGAGAAAATTGTTAAAACCGACTCTTATTGAAGAACGTAGCGTCCGTACAAATTCAAAAAGTTGCAACATACGACTTGGATCGTAAAAATAATAATTCAATTCCAAACAAATCATTCAGATATTACAACCCATAATCATCAATAATTCTTCGACGCATTCGTATGCTGTCTATATTTCATGATATTTTCTATTTGTTTTATGTACAATTTACTTAAAACAAAGATTTTTTTCCGCTAGGTATCTCTGCCATGATGAATCATTCAGAGCATCGAGAACAGAGTCACCTGGCGGCCAACTAATCGGCGTTATAGTGCATTTTATATAAACAAATTTTTCGCGAACACTCCCATATAAATTTTACAATGTAAAAATCAAAACAAAAATAATATCGATCTGAAAGGTGTTGTAATTTTGATCTGATACATATATAATCTAAATATATTTCATAGGGGTCCAAAGGTTACAAGCCCTTACGCAAAAATCGATTAGAATTTTGCCGATTTCATCTAAAAAACTAAAGCCTAATTTACATGCTATATAAATTTGAAAAAAGTATCTGTCTACAGGACTAAAACAAACGCACACTTGATATTAATGAGTTACAACTAAAGCCCAAGGCGTTGCGACACTTAAAGTCTTCCTAGTCTAGTTAATGCATTCAACTTGTCATGCGTTTACATCAATTCTGACAAAACGGAAAACTTTCCATGTCAAGTATTAAATTTGAAAATGGAAGTTTACATAAACCGAAATTCAAACTGTTTGTAAACTATTAAGGTCTGTTCACTTTTTAACTCTAGCATTGAATATTTAGCTTTGTGCTAAGTCGTCTTTACATTGTCTTGTTTAATGAGACACTCTGTATACCAATATGAAAATGTAAAAGGTTCCCTCTATCTAGCTTGGGTTCTATTCTCCGCTAGGTTGGGTTTAAATCAGATTTAGATATGTTCGCGCATCTTTCAAATCCAAATATATATAAATATGTTTACTATTTACTATTTACTATTTACTATTTACTATTTACTATTTACTATTCGCTATTTACTATTTACTATTTACTATTTACTTTTTACTATTTACTATTTACTATTTACTATTTACTATTTACTATTTACTAATTACTATATAATATTTACTATTTACTATTTACTAATTACTATTTACTATTTACTATTTACTATTTACTATTTACTATTTACTATTTAATATTTACTATTTACTATTTACTATTTACTATTTACTGTTTACTATTTACTATTTACTATTTACTATCAGATAAAGGTTTAAAGGGTACAACCCTTTTTAATGCAATGGAAAGTCTCTTATAACACTTTTGATCAATTGAATTTAAGCTAATATTATGAATTGGAATTCCACTCTTTAAACCTTTGAATAGAAAATAGATAAAATGTCTCCTCTGTCCACGTGTTAAATTCATTCCTTTTCCCCAACACACTTACACACACTTTCCAATAACCGTCATATAAATATGTTATTCCTTCATTTTACAACTTTGCTTTAAATGATAGCCATTATTTGGAAAGCGATCTTACAGAAAGTGAAAAAAATGATAAATTTTTCTTTCTTTAAAAAAGGATTGAAATTAAAAAGATTAATGAATATAACCCCCCGGCCCTAACATAACATAACATGCAAATTTACAATATCTTTGCTTCGTGATGTATCAATCTCAAATTGTTTTCTGACAACAAAAAAGTTCTATATTAAAAAAGTTTCTTTTTGTACACAAAATGGCCTACATACACTGGCCCCTGTT